GATTCATCTGTACTAGGTCGGATCCGTGATGGCTTGCGCCCATGGCTTTGTGGGGGGCCATACCCGAACTCTTCTAACATCATGTCTTCGAGCGGGAGGACCGAGGCCTTCCCTATCGCGCACACAATGCAGTAGCCTCGTTCATGCGTGCCCACTCGGAGACGCTAAAAATGGTTCGAGGCGTTCCCCTTGGAACTTGGTGGTCAGAGGGATAAGAAAGAATGACATGCTTCAGGTTACCGCAGCCGTGTACTATGCGAGCATTGCCAGCCGGTGGTAGAGATTGCAATGTAAGACTGACAACCGACGGGCAGCTTCAAGCCCAGTGATACTCCATGCACACAGATTACTGTAGTCAATCACTACGTAGCGAGCTCGGAGGTTCGATTGGAGGCTTAAGGAGCGACTATTCTTCGAATACTATACAAGCAGTGTGATACTGCACTGGCAGCGCTCAGCACCCATGCGCACGAGCAATTACTTCATGATCAGGCAGGGGGAAACACGGTGTCCATCCAACGTGCGATGACGGCGAGTTCATGACTTGATCCTAACCAATCTACGATGTGGCGGAGGAGCTCGCCATTGTCAAGTGCCGCATGATACTCGGCGTCCTTCGCCCGAGCGATCTGCGATGGTCATTGGATGAGTCTGTGCTGCGTCATGCAATACTGAAGCACGTACCTCAGTGTAAAGAGCTTTCAGGGACCGGGCGTCATCTGGACTGACGAACCACCAGATTTCCATGCCTTCCCCGGCATCGAGGACGTATGCAGGATCAAGGACCCCGTCGTAGCGGATGAACGAAGGGTATTCGACCGCAAGGACCGCAGGAAGGACGGACTGGTAGTCCCAATCGATAATGCCAGTGAGGTCTCCGACATCATTCATCAGCATATTGACCGGGGCGAGGTCATCGTGCTTTAGCACACAACGGCGATAGAAGGACTCCTGTAGAAGCGCTAAGATTGCGCACAGCTCCTTGCGGATGCGCGAGAGGATCTGGGCACCTCTTGCGCGTGTATCAGCGTCTTGGCACTCTGAGAGACGGCGCTCCCTCGCTTGAAGGGCAGATAAAACGTAGTCTTCGAGGCTGCTGTAGCCAGTGACTGGCGCGTCCAGCATGGGGACGACGTCGAGGTTGCCTTCGGAAACGCAAGCAGTACCGATACGTTGCGGGACGCTCAGTCGGAAGAGCTGTATCTGAAATTCTGCAAATGCATGGAGCAACCTTTCCTAAACCTTCGATCAGCACCACTTACGACGATAACATGACGCGATACGCATTTACTCGCCTTGGCGGATCGCGAGGCTCGTCCTATACAATTGAGCACCATCTTCCCAGGCAGCTTCTCCATGACCACGATGGGATACGCATGCTTGGAACATCCATCCACCACGCAGCGAATGGCCGGTACGGAGAGTGAAGTGTTGGCGTTGAGCCACTTGAGCAACTCAGCTTGCCGTGTCATTGCCGCGATCCCCTCATTGTCTCGCTCGTCGTCCGGAATAGCCGGATTGGGAGTTCGTACGATGTCTCTCCGTCCATCTTCATACTCGACTTCAAGAACCTGGCAGAAAGAGTCGGTGAGCGATCAGATGAAGGGCGAAGAAAGTCGAGCATGAGTGCCTACCAAGTTATCGTTCTGTGAGCAAACGTCGAGCCCTACGATTGTGAGTGACAATGCAGCCTCCACAGCTTGCAAGATGGCGCGATACTGCTCGAAGGCCTCGTCCCCTGGCGCACTCTTCTGGAATGAGTCAGGAAATGGGGGCAATTCTGTCGCATTACCGCGGGAGTCCCAGAAGATCGCTGTCTCGCTCATCGCGCGACGTGGAAGAGGGGATGTGGGGTAATCGCTCAGAGGACCCGTGAGTATGTATACTGTACTAGTCACCGCGGAGAGCCCGTGAATCTCTCTATTAATTCACTTGGTCGCGTGTCGTGCGAGTCTGATGAGCCTCGCCTCCGGAACGGAGGGAAACAACGGACAGGAGCAGGAAGCATCAACTGGGCGCGGTACTACTAGTAGTATCGGCGCTAACGAGCTGATCTGCGCCCGGGTCCCAGTAAATGATGCATGATAATCACCAGAAATTGTATACGAAACCACAACATCCCCATGGACCCACAAAGACACGGTGTCCAGTTGCGCGGTTAGATACGGACCTATTATACACGTAAGTACTAGTACATCGCCTATGAGACAATATAGTCTCATCCAGCTATGTTCAAGGGGCGCATGATGGTCTACTATGCCTGCCCTCCGATACCGAACCTCTGTAGCCGCCTTCCCATCGGGATCTTACTTGGGCTAGTGACCCCCATTGGCCTCGCCCCAACACTAGCCGCGTTCTCACCGCGGCCGCGAGGCGCATCCCGCACAGCGACATTCTTCCCGGGTACAGAGCCCGCAGACCTCGGAGCCGCCGAGAACGCGAAGCTCGCCGCGTTCGTCGTGTCCACGAGCACCGGGCGCGAGATGTTGATCGACGCCGAGAAGCGCTTGATCGCCTTCAGCCCGGGCATGCGCACTGGGAGGCGCGACCGCTTCTCTGGGGTCGAGCCTGTGCTGTCTTGCCCTCCTCGCGAAGGGCCGCTTCCGGGAGTTGGAGAGACGGACGGGGCTCTGTAGGGCGAGCTCGAGAAGTCGCTGTGCAGAACGAGCACGAGGTCATCCTCTGGGCTGCTGCTGAAGTCGAGCAGAGCTTTGGGCAGAGAGGCGCCTGAAAGACGGTTCGGCGTCCGCGGTGTAGGGCTGTCCGACGCGGTTTCCACTGAGAGCTCGAACGAGGGCACGGTACGCGTCGAGCCAGATGCTGCGGTGGCTTCTTCGAAGTTGGAGGGTATTTGGTATTGGGATGGATCCACAGTAGACGGAGGAGGGCCAGTAGCTAGCCCAGAGACAGCGGACGTCGCGGAGGTAGAGGGACCGAAGAACGACCATCGCGAGGTGCTCTGGGTGGTCGATGCGGCCAACGCGTCCTCTCTCAGCTTGCCGCCAGCCGGGGCGACAGGGACGGCGATGATCTTAGCACGGCGGCGGCGCGACTTGGTCGAGTCCTGTGTGGAAGCAGTGACCGACGCAGAGATGCTATCGCGTATGTTCCTGTCGCCAGATGAAGTGTCGCTGCTAGAGCCTGAGGGTGCGAGCGCCAGTTTTGCGAGGGAGCTCCGCCGCGAGCCACGGGAGGAGACGCTCTTGATAGAGTGACTAGCGCGGAACGTCTCGCTTGCCAGTGGAGGGAGATTGCTGAGCACAGAGGGTGGAAGGCGTGCTGTCGAAGTGGAGCTAGTGGGCGGGAGGACCATCGAAGACGAGCTCGCGGGAATGAACGTAGCGAGCTCTGTGGCCTGCGTGTCTTCGAGCTCGACGTCGACTTCCATGTCTTCGTGGGAATGACTTGTTGAGATGGACGACGGCAATGCGAGCGAAGGCTGGGGTGCGGAGATTATATCCTCGTGTGGTGGAAGGGACTCGTCGTGACAGGGTTCTGACACTGCGTCTTTCGTATGTGGTTCCGCGTGTTGAACATGGAGAGGCAGCGTGCCCGCCTTCATGCTCTCCAGCATCTCGCCCACCCTTTCCATACGTTCCCGTGGAAGCGCATCGACGACTTGCGAGATGGCAGACACGGAAGGCGTGACCGTGTCTGCGTGCCTCCCGTCATCCTGCGCCGCACGCTTCCAGAACTTCGCCCGCTTCCGCCAATCCTGGATCTGCGCTCGCGCGTCCAGCGTGCATCGAACCTGTGCCAGGTATTCGTTCTGCGTCCGCACGCCTGTGACCGGTTCGAGGAGGCGTCGCCAGACGTTGTCGGGCTGGGCGATAGCAGCCTTGATAGCCGCAACGAGCGCGGCCTCCGGGTCTTCTCCCTCGAGAACGTCGCAGTATGCAGATCCGACGACAGGCTTGGGCTCTCCCGTCGCAACCATGAGGTCAAGGAAATGCTTCAGACGGTCGCACCTTGCTGATAGGACGGCGTTCTCGGACGCGAGCGCTTCGACTTGGAACTGCTCGTCCGAGTTAGACGGGGAGGGACCGTCTTGGGCGTTAGCGAGCGAAGAGAAGAGCTCGCGCCGGAGATGGAGGACCTCAGATTGCAGGACTGCAATGTCGCTTGCGAGCCCTTGGTTCGCTTCCAGTGCGACCTGGTGCGCCTCCCGCTCACCTAATAGCTCTGCCTCGAGATCGCGAACACGATGAGTGAGTACCGACACGATGCTCCGATGTTGATTTGCTAGATCACGGTTGAAGGATGCGGGCAGGGAATTGTGATGGACACTCTGCCAAGGAATGGTTGGTCCGCCTAAGGGAGTCGGCCCGGTGGGAACGTAGGCAGCAAAGACGTCTGCAGATGACGTCGAGCCGGAGGTCGTAAACGAGTCCGCAATGCGAGTAGTCGATATGGGCCGCGTCGCAGGTGTTGCAATGGGTGCCGATGCGAGACGACTGAGCTCGGGGTCCGATTTCGCCCGTCGGTGGAAGAGGTGAGATAGGCGGGGAAAGCGCATCTCTGAGTTCTGAAGCTTCAAGGAGTGTGCTAGATAGTAATGTGGTAATAGCGATGTTGGGTCTCAAGCTCAGAGGCAATGTTGAGGTCAATGGGGCCTCGATATCGATGTGTTGTACAAGATGAACTTGACCATGCGTCCAACTAGGCAACTGACGTCGCGAGCGAATAGCAAGTGGCGGGCGAAGACCGAACAGGCCTCACCTGCAGAAACGGGCCAATCATCAGTGTGTTCGATATGTGACGGTGCAGGCAGTGGGCGATATCCTCGGTGGCCGATGAAAAGCCTTTAATCGCTAATACTCCTCCACAGGTTCTAATATCAGAATCGAACCGCCAGAAGTCCGGAAGTACTCACATTGAAACATGACAATTTGATCCTAGCTGGATTCTAGTCTTACCGGTGTCCGCAGGAGAGGAAGGAGTGCGTACTCCTACGTTAGTTGGTGTTCTCTGCACGCCAACTACTGGTGGCAAAAAGCTTATGACGAGAGTGGGATTCGAACCCACGCCCGTGAGGACCAGATAGCAGGTAATTACCTTGGTCTGGCGCCTTAGACCGCTCGGCCATCTCGCCATGTGCTCAACATTCCTGTGTACATAATACACCAAAGCATTCCCGAGCGAAAGTGTGTCAAGGTTGTCGCGGCCGCAGCTGCCAGATGGAGAGGATGGTGGCAGAGTATCTGGCCCCTTCTGCAAGACGATTCGTGCAGACAGCAGTCTTTATCACTCAGATGTGTACGTTGCGCTCTGAGTCTCTGGGCCGGTCGTAGAAATTAATGAATGAGGATCAGAGCGCGGAGGACCCAAGTGTGCACTCAATGCCGATGAGGTACCACGTGGCCGCGTTTGCAGCAGTGGGTTCAGCACACGAGTTATTGTACTCATCGGGCCCAGCTATTCAACTTCACGCTGCCACAGCTTGAATTACAGCCATCGTCAACCGGCAGTCAGTGGGTCAGCTGCGCTTTCATCCGACCACTGCTATCGTGCCTATACAAATAGCTAGGCTGTCTTCGGTAGCCCCAACTGCTAGCGCTGACCTACTCAACCTACGGCCTTCAACACGCCCTCGGGTGACGGTCCATCTCGGCTAGCGTACGATTCCGACGGCGAGATACACTTTGGTGGCGTACCGGAACGTCTCTTGCGCCATCCAGATCCGACGTCGTGGCATCAAATTAACTGACGCTTTGAAGCCAGTGAGCGAGTCTCGCAGCCAATGATTTTCTGGAAATCGCGCTAAGCATCTTTCCAGGGCGTAGTCTTTCGTGCAGGGTTGGATAAACCTGCGTTTGTGGTGAAAGTGCTTAACACCGAAACCGAAGAGATACCGATATACGACAAGCTACTTCCTAGTATTCGCTCTCCACCGAATCATACCGTCCCGGCCGAGATATATCGAGATGGACATCCGCTACTGATCGTGCCTTACCTCCACGACCTAACGACGTGCCTGGTTTTCGAAGGCCACACACCATCCTATCTTTCTGACATGTTCTATCAACTCGCAGAGGTATGTATTCTCGCGGGAGTTTTGTTGATATCATTTATAACAAGTCGAGTGCCCCCTTCAGGGTATAAAGTACTTGCATAGCCTCCACCTTTGAGCGCTTATGAGGCCGGCGCCAATGATCTCAAGGAGTGCCTATTGGCCTATGACAACGGCCGGCGGGACCATCCATTATTGATGTTGAAGCTGATTGACGGAGAGATACCTATATGGAGGAGAGTGGTACCAAAGGCCTTCTATAGTTTTCTGAGCTACTAAAATCCGAGGACTATGCACTTGTGCGATGAGGTGTAATGACTGATATCTACGTGTGATAACCTAGATATCTTATCCATTCCTCCCGAGTCCGCCGGAGTCCGGCGGACTCGCGCGGCCCCAGTGGGTCAGATATTTCCGCATCGGTGGGGCCCGAGAGTCGGAGGGTAAGCATATACAGTTGACTCCCTCTTAACCCATACTTCTCGGCAAAGCTCCAGAACTCCGCCGCCCGCACAATTTCGCCCATAAGGTGTACCAATAGAACCGCTAACATTAAGGCCATATAGCCTTCCAACCCCGAAGACCAAAGATTACTTCAGTCCTCAGCGATTTGCGGATCTGTGTGCTAAGCGAGGTATGGGTTAAGAGGGAGTCGACTGTACCCTTCTAGCGACTTGCAACCATATGTGTGTTTGCTATATGTACTCAGCCGGTCGCAGATGATCCAACTGAGCGTGGAGCTCGCTATGATCTCCGAAGGATCATGTACCCGCTGTTCCCCGCCGCATAGGACATGTTCGCTAACATTCCGACTTGCCCACGTCTATGCATTGCAGGTTTAGCTTCGTACTGACGTTCGATGATTTGTGAACGATTTCTTTTCTGTACTGCTATCGGCTCGTAGAGCCTATTACAAGCCTTGAACTGTGCACAGTGATCTCCTCGGTCACCCCCTTTCTAGGGACACGTGTAATCATCTTAGACTAAAACACAGCTCACGACGTCAAAGCCTAACCACCATTTTGTTTCGATTGCCGATACTAGGCTCTACTCATACTACCAATGCTCTGCCCGTTGATCCCCGGTTCCCCGTCTTCAGATCCCCGCTGGCAAATTGGAAATCAAATGCATAAGACAACGGCCGGCGTGTATGGGCGTAGGTGAGAACAAGCCTGTGCAGGCGCAGCCATCCTCGCGAGGTTCGCTTGATGCAGCCGTGCCCTGGCAGTGACCAGAGCAGTATAAGAAGCGGTCCAATTTCGAGACGACGAAACCAGCTCTCTACGCAAGTCTCTTCGGTGAGTGCTGATCGTCTGCGGGCTTCCCCAATCGCTCACATAGAACGACTTCCTATTCACTAGAAACATGTTCTCTCGCTCCGCTCTCACCGCTCTCCTCTGCGTATACCTCGCCGCCTTCGTCGCTGCGATGCCCACTGCCAGTGAGCAGGTGCGTGTGCAACTGCACCAGTAAGCCTTGAACGTATGTGCTGACAGGGGCAACCCATCATCGTTCCTTGTACAACGGCCCTGTTGTTCGTCCTGGAAGGGTGCTCCGCAGGTTGCAGACACGGCTGATCCCGCCGCCCTTTCCGAGGACATGTGCTGGCCGGGGATGTGCAAATTCTAGGCGGAAGGCCTCAGCGACGTGGTGCGGTTTGCGTCTCACGGTACGGACAGAGGGGGAGTCAGTGAGTATATAACTGTCACGCATTCCGGGGAGCCCGCCGTGACCACTTACGCATAACGGCTT